TCAAAACCTTCTTCACAATTTTCTGCTCTTCCACCAAGAAAGCTCGAATAATCCTGCAAACCAGCATTACACAGTTATAAGACAAAGGAGCATGAATTAGACAAATAATGGAAAGGGACAAGCCAACAAACACTAAGAGAACAAACCTCTCCCTTACTGCACTTCCAGACAATACTCCACCATAGGGACGGTTCACAGTCCTCCTGTTCCTAGATAATCTGGATCTCTTATACTCGGCTGGTCTCAAGTGAGGAATCTGCAGGACAGCAAGATTTGAGGTTATTAGATTGCACTAAATGCTTCAATTAATTAACTAAGATAAATCAATAAAACACTGAGACCAATGAATTACATGACAATAAGAGTTTACACACCAAATAAAAGGGAAAGAGTATTATAACCATCAGCAGGGCTAAAAAACATCTAGGTAATACCCAACATCTTTACAATTATTCATTCAAAGAAGCACCAGAAAAGCTAAAGTTGGCATTAGCAATTCTTATGATGCTTCAGTTTCTACTAAAGGGGATCTGTAAAGGAGAATATAATAAAAATTCAAATAAGAGATATATTTAAAATGTCAAAGCCTGATTCTTCTTTCCTAATTCTAGAAACTAGAAGAAGCAATCTTGTCTATGGCTTAATGAAGAGGATTTTAGTCAGAGATGGGAGAATTCAAATAATACAAGCTGACTCTACTCACTCCAATAGCACAGTTTAAAGATAGCTATCTCAATATACAACATAACTAAGATAATCTGACTGTGGAATCAGTATCTAGAGTTCACCTTGTATACAAGATTTACTACCAACAGTAATAAAATTATTTACTTATTTTAAAAACTTCACCTCCACTATTTTAATAATGGTAAAAATGAAAAAATGAATCAGCATATGCTTATGCAATACCAAGAGATGCTTCACTCTGAGTAAGAAACGGTAAACACAAAAAAGACCATATTGAATATGGCTAACCATAATTTTTCTCAAAAAGAAAAAAGACTAGCCATAATCAGGTATTTCAGAAACGTTTAAGATCAACATCTAGGATATCAGATAATGCAAAGTGGATCATGTACACTACAAATCAGAACCAACACTAATTTCTAACAAAATTGTAAATGAAGCTCCAATCACAGAAACATGACCAAATTGATTGCTGTGAAGCACATAATGGTAGAGCTGCAGAACAAGAAATACATGGTGAACAATATGTAGCAGAAGGCAATTCTATTCCTAGAGGTATCAACGACTTAAACAAACATGATATATGCAAAGCACAACTCTGGAAAATATATATCTTACGAATTTAGATATAAATAGCACAGATTTAGCTCTCCGGTAACGCATATAGAAATGCAGAATAAGAGTATGAGACAAAAAAAAAGATGACATTACCCCCTGAATCCTCTTTCCAGTTACAGGACACTTAGGACCACTAGCCCGCTTCTTGGTACTCTGGTAAATCAGCTTCCCACCTGTACAATAAATCAATCAATCAATCAACTACGTCTCAATCCCCAATTAGTTATAATCGACTCTTTATAAAGTCTATATCCATTCCGCTCAAATCGGCCCATTTCTTTTTTCCTGATCGGTTCAATTCATTGAAATACTAATTCATACTTAAAATTGAATGAATCAACAAGAATCAAATTAAAGACATTAATATTAATGATGGTTTTTATTGTACCAGGGGTTTTGACGACACGGTGCTGGTTGGATTTGGTGGCATAGCTGTGGCGCTTCCGGTAAGTGAGTCGCTGCACCATCTTCGGAACCCCTCTCTCTCTCTCTGTCTCTCTCTCTCTCTCTCTCTTGAGGCTCGAACAGAAGAGGAAGTGAAGAAGGTTTTGAGATAACAAGTTAAAAGGCAAAACCCTAGTCGGGAATTTGCCCTAGATCTGACGGCCACTAAGAAATATGCTTGGACGGTTAAGATTGACAGTGATTTGGGCAAACTTTGCTCTTTGGGTCTTCAATCCAAACTTTGCTTTTTTGGGCTTCAAATCCAATCCAAAACCCACTGGTTGCTTGGGCTTTTTTCATTGTTGGGTTTTCTTTTGTTTACTAGTGGGGTAAGCCCGCGCCCAAGCGCAACTGGCTGAACTCTTTTTTTTTTTAGCGATTTTTTCATTCATATATACTATTTGAAATCTTATTACGAAAAATGTTCATATTTTGGTATTTACCCGACCTAAACATATTTTAGTTACAAAATATATACAATACACCTTAAAAGGCTCCCAAATCCATTATTTGTGCCTTCAATCAAGAGATTTAGTTACACTCTTTTCCTTTTTTCTCCACCGCTGATTCCCTCGCCTTCACATGCTCAGAAGCCATACAAGAACGAGATCCGCCTAGGTTTTTTTTAGCTTTCAACCTTTAATTTTTTGAAGAAGCTTCTTCACTTTCTGCTTGCACCCATTACAATGTATGTTCACTCGAAAAGCACAGGTCTGCAAAAAGGGAATTAACGAAAGATGAACATTAAAAAGGTGGAGAAGAGACAAGGGAAGCAAACATAGAACCAAAATAATAATTTACAGAAGAAAAATCACAAGTCAACTTTATGGTACACTAGTAGAACATGGTCTTGAGATAGAGAAATATACCTGGATTTTTAGGAGCTTAAAATCTTCATCTTGAGTCATTTCTTCAAGTGTAGTTTCAACAGAATGATCTGCTTCAACAAGTAGTAGCGAATATAAACACCGCTTAAAAATTATATGTACAATGTGGAAAAGAGGTGTTGTTGTTTTATGGAAGTGTTAAAAGTTGCTCCTCTGTTTCACTTTAGATGAGGTAATTTGACTAGGCATTTGGACAATATTTGGTTGAAGTTAATGAAAAAAATAAAAGTATAATATATACATAATAATTATATATTATACAACTTATCTACAATTTTCATACATTATTTCTACCAGTTATATACAACTACAATATCATACAGCTTAAATACAATTTTTATACAAATTTTATAAAATATGTCTTTTGTATATTTTGTATCTGATTTATACATAGTAAAAATAAATTTCATACAACTAATTATATATTATACAACTTATCTGTAACTTATCTACAACTTTCATACATTATTTCTACCCATTTATATACAACTACAATATCATACCACTTAAATACAATTTTTATACATATGTCTTTTGTATATTTTGTATCTGATTTATACATAGTAAAAATAAATTTCATACAACTAATTATATATTATACAACTTATCTATAACTTATCTACAACTTTCATACATTATTTCTACCGATTTATATACAACTACAATATCATACAAATTAAATATAATTTTTAAACAAATATTGTTCAACTTTCATACAATATTTAAATAAAAATATATATATAAACAATAGAATATAATTTTTCTACAATTTTACTATAACTTTACTACAATTTCGTAAGTATAATGTATGTCATGTCTTCTTCTTCTTTGAGTTTTAATCTGAAATTCAGCCCAAATCAAGTCTAATTTTCACCAAAATACCCTCGAAATTGAGATACAAACTCCAAATAATATTCTCAAATATTTGCAACAATACCCAATCCAAACAAATAATAATTTTTGAAAACCCAAATTCGAATTCAAAGCTTCAAAACTTTTTAACGGCTGTCAATGGTGGAATTGTTGCTCTCTTTTCCTTCAATTTATCACTTAATCATAATTAAATAATATATATCTTCAATTTATTATATAAATTAATCATAATAAATTGAATTAAATTGGTATAAACATGATGGTAATTATTTACCGTTATTCTTTCTGCTTCCCCTTATAAGTATCTAACTAAAGTGCTAATACACATTTTTATATTTGCTTGTCTGTGTTCAAGAAAAGACGACAACTAGAGTTATGGTATGATCCTAATCTGCTTTTTTTGTATCATTATATGATCCTTCTTTACCTAGCAACAACATCCAACCCAAACAAATAATGATTTCTGAAAACTCAAATTCTAATTCAAAGCTTTAAAAGTTTTTATTGGTTGTCAATGGTGGAATTGCTACTCTCTTTTCCTTTGCTCTATATTACTCGAATTAGGGATTGAGAGATAGAGAGAGACGTAGAGAGAGAGAGAGAGAGAGAGAGAGAGAGAGAGAGAGAGAGAGAGAGAGAGAGAGAGAATAAGGATGGGAAATAATTGATTCCTAATATAAAGAGATACTCATTTAATTCCTAAAGTGTATGTAATTGGTAAATTTATATATATGATGTAATTAAATTAAAACTTGAGTAGGGATGGTAATAAAGTTTCAAATAGTGTATAAGAATGTAAAAATCTCCTTGTATACCCTAAAATTCGAGTAACAATTAAACTTATTTAGTGGTTTTAAGGATATGTGATTTAATCCAATATCAATTGACAAACAAGAAATTAAATAGATAATCTGAATAGTAAAATAAATCAAACCAGTATTCTAGCAGCGCTTTCGACCTCGATTCGAGATGGTCTCGAGGTTGGGTAAGAAGAACAGTAAAGAACAGAAGATAAACAATGATGAACAGTAATGGATAGTAAGTAAAATAGAGAGCAACGTTTTTGTATATCTTTTCAGTGAATCAATACCCTTACAAATGAATGGGGTCCCTCTTTATATAGTAGAAGAATCCTAAATAAGGTACAATTCTAATAACGAAAATAATTCCCATGATTGAAGTCAATAACTACTTGATTTGATCTGTTCCGGGATTTTCGCCAAGTTTTTCGGTCGGTTGCTAATATCTCGCCATTCCGTTATTATGCCTTACTCGAAGTCGGTCATGCTCGGTCTCGATCTTCAGCGAGCACTTCGATCTTCGTGCTCCGTACTTTGCCATTGAGCTCGATCCTGGTTTATTACGAGCTTACTCTCGGGGCAGCTCCTCGTGCTTATGATATCTGACATGCCAGATTTCGACCGTATACAGATAATCCCCGCATTTCTTGGAATAAAATGATAAGAAACGGTTTGAACCTTGATTTTTCAAAACCTCGATCATGACGTCGTTCTCATGACGTAAGTGACGGATGTGATCGAAACGTCCCGTCGGTTCAGTTCCCCAAATATTTAATGCCTGTCAGTTAGCGGTCGACCACTAGCGCCACCGAACCATCGTCATGAGCCTATAAATACACGTTCCATCATTGAATCAAACTTTACTTTTGCTCTAATCAAACCTCTAAGTCTTCTCACTCTTTTCGTCTCCTCCTTTTCACCGTCTGTAGAGCCACCTCCGTTACCGCTGAAACCACCAGTTTTTCATCTTCATTCGCTCTTGTTTACTTATACAAATGTCAAAAACCTCAAAGACCATACCGCAGAAGGAGAAAGTTTCTTGCTCCTCTTCCCGGCCGTCCGGCGGCAAGACGCCGGCGGAACCGCTTCCCCACGAGTATGTTCCCGGCCCGTGTACTCTAAAATCCGACTTCAAGGTCGAAAACCCTTCATCGATCCCGAGCCGATGTGAGCATGTGTCGATGTACATGTGCTCNCGAGTATGTTCCCGGCCCGTGTACTCTAAAATCCGACTTCAAGGTCGAAAACCCTTCATCGATCCCGAGCCGATGTGAGCATGTGTCGATGTACATATGCTCGATAACGAAGAGCCACCTCGAGGTCATGAAGATAGACTGCAACTGGGGTCCCGAGGTCGTGGTGCAAATTCCTGCTCGCGAAGAGAGCATCACCGCTTATGTGGAGGGGTTCCTAAGTGTTTACACTTACCCATTTATATTGGGTCCCCTCGACCCAGTGATTATTGATCTCTATAAAAGATAAAAGGTCACCCTCGGCCAATCCACCCCTCTCTATGGCGCATAGTAATCATGTTGCGCTTCTTCTCTAGCAAGGCTGAGGGGCTAGAGTTTACTCTAAATCACCTAATGCGATTGTACCGGCCCCGAATCTATCGAGGACTAATTAGGATCCAATGCCGGGTAATGAAAGCCTTGATCTCGAGCATCGACGAGGATAAGGATCGGGGTTGGATGAGCCGTTTTATACGGGTGAGGTCCGTGATATTATCCCGGAAGAGAAGATGTTGTTCCCTGAGGAATGGAACTTACCGTAAGTGATATCCCCTGTCGACATGCAGTTATTTCTTGGATGCCTCAAGCAGTACCTGACCTTGAAGATTGGGTTCGTAAGTTAGCCTCAGCTTCCACTTATGCTGAACGCGCATGGCATGATTTGGCAAAGGGCAGATGGGAGGCCAAGAACCACGGTAAAGATCTCCTTTTTCATATTCTGAAACACTTTTTATACTTCATTCGTCACTAATTTTCTTTCATACATGCCTGACCAAGGATGCCACTTTGAGGCCTCTAAGTGACGAGGAAGAAACCAAGTCCCCGATTCCGAAGCCAGGGGAAGACAAGAAGAGGAAAACTGCCTCGCAGTTTGAGGATCCCAAGCCCAAACTTCGAAGGGTGAGGAGGAAAGTAATCGCTCTCACGATGGACTCAGTCCAAAACTTGAGAGACGAAGAAGAGGAAAATGCCTCAGCACTAACGGTCCGAACTAAGAAAGTCGTCAAGGTCACCAAACCTTCTGAGCCGACGGCGGCTGCTAACATCAAGCCTCTTGTTGAGGAGGCTTCCAAAACGAAATCGGGTTAGGGTCCCGAATTACTAGAGGTTGAGATAGTTTCTCGGTCATCTGCAGCTACACCGGACGGGGACGATTCTGGGACCCCGAAGATCGATCAGAGCATCCCGAGCGACTTGCTTGGGACCATGACAGCAGGCCACTTGCCTTTTCTTCTGACTTTTTCTGAGGAGGCACTAAGGGAAGCTAGAGAGTTGAAAACTCCTGATATAGGTGGAGGTTATAGTGTAGG